TGATGTCTCCTTTCTTACTCCTCCATGGTACTTTGCTTTCATGATCTAATATGGTACTTCTTGCATTTAATTAAGAATCTGTTTACATGTCACCTTTACCTGTTTGGTTGTATGCCCAGACTCCAGTAACTGGAGATCAGAGATGGTATCTTATTCACATTTGATTCCCTGGCCTAAGAGAATGCCTACCACATGGCAGATATGTGGGGGAGGTTTATTAATTTGAACTGAAATGCAAGTGGTATTTGTTCAATGAGAAAAGATCCCCCCTTTTTTTTCTAGTAGTTCTTCATTCTCTACGTTCTACTTTCTAGCCATAGATTGTGAAGGAAATAATCAGTGTTCAGTTAGTCAAAGGTGAAATGTCACAGCAGAGCATCAGTAAGTTAAGTGGTAGAGCTAGAAGGAAGAATTGAGAGGTCAGAGAGAGGAGGAGACATGAGAGAGCTCATGTCTATGAGAGCATGTGGGAAAAGGAGAGAATAACGGGTGAGAAAGAGGAAATTCTATCGAGTTTTCATCCTACAAATGATCTTGCAAGATTTAAAGGGAAGCAAATTATCTGGAGGGTAAAGTGAGTTCAGAGAGGCTTTCTGGAAGCAGCTGAGTGGAAAATGAACTCCAGTCCAGCCAAATGTAATCCACACTGGGAAATGAGTTGATGGATTGAGCATCATTAAGATTAAATCATCATCCAACAAGCACTAACATTTATTAAGCTGTTCCTCTGTGCTTGGCCCTGTGCCAGAACCTTGGGTCATGGTAGACAAGGACTCTGCCCACAGGATCAGGGCCTCAGCAATTCACTCTCTTCAACCAGGGGTGCTTGTCATTGGTAACTATGACAGGCACCCCTGGAACTCTTTATTTAAATCTACAGCTACTCGAGCCCCACTGTAGACTCAGAGCAAAAATCTTTAGGGAATGGGACTGGGGAATAACACCTTTTAAAAGATCCTCAGGGGACTCTTGTAAGCATCTCTGATTAAGAACTATAGCTGCACTGGAACTGGGGATTAAAACAAATAACTGTAACATGAAAAGTGCTCTGGGGTACAGAGGGAAGAAGGATATTCTGGGGGAGATCCAGGAAGCTACTCGGAGGAGGTGCCGCTTGAATTAAGACTTGGAAAATGATGACATTGGGAAGAGAATCAGAACTAGAAATTAGAGACGACACTGTAGTAGCTGATAGAAAGAGAGAGAGAAGACAAGACAATGTAAGGGAAAGAAGAGAGTAGGCAAAGAAGCCCAGGAGAGAAGGTGTTCTCAAGGTGTTAGGAACTGGGGAGTTCAGCATCATAAGATAAAGTGGACAATAAGGCCAAAAATTTTGTGGAGAGGTTATGGGAGGATGGGGCCAACCAGTGTATCAGTAGATATAGTCATTACTGAAAATTTTGGTGGGAACTGCTTCAGTAAAGTGGTAGGTGAGAAAGACAGGTCACTAATGTTGATTAATTGCAGAGGAATTGAATAAAATGACTGTAAACTCTTTTCTGAGATTTAGAGATAAAAGGAAGAAGAAAATAAGTCTGATATGTTAAGGAATCTTTTTTTGTCAAAGATTAGCATTGATCTGAAAATGTTTGTAATATTTAGAAGATGGAGCCAACAGAGAAGAAGATAAATGTGCCATGAGAAGGACAACTAATAGAGCAAGTTCCTGGAGGAGATGGGTCAGAAACCAGAGTGTCAAGTAAAAAGATGGGTACAGATGCGGTGGAGAGGTGGTAGGGAGATGAGTTAAGGATGCTTGTGTAGATGACCTAAATCCAACAGTAAGGGAGTGTGGGCGGTCTCAGACTATGGAAGAGCTCCAGTAGAGTTTTAGATGGAAGATGTTGGGAAGCTCCCAATCTTGGGAGCTTCCATTGTGCACTTACTTCCACTTTGGAAATAGTTGCTTTCTCAATTGCTAAAAAGGCATGAGTCTCTGCAGTGATTGAAGCATAAATGTGAGGGTTGGTGTATAGGATAAGTTCTCAATTCTGACTGCATGGGAAAATTATCTGGGCTAGGGTTTTTTTGCGGCGGGGAGGGGAATGTCAGGCATCAGGAAGCTCCCTGATGATACTAATTTTCAGTTTTGAACACCATTGGTCTGTGGAAACACAACAACACAGGGATATAGTTATTGTATATGAATATGCTGTTCAGCTAGGATGTTTCCAAATTATTAGACATAAACAATATATAGGGTATTCTGTTAGCCACTAAAAGAGAAAAAAAACTTTGATGGGATCTGTCAAAAGCCAAAAGATTATCAGAAAAGCAAGCAAGATTTAAAGGAAGAGTTATGTTGTTCTACCCACTCACTCATCCATATACCAATGCATTCAATCACTCAGTAGTCCTCTGACTACCTACTACATGTTAAACAGCACACTATTGCTGAAAATAGAGAAACAAAATAGCCTTTCCCTCTAGTGGCCTAGATTTAGTTGGAGAGAGAGAGAAGACAAGGAAACCTATGATTATAATTGCATGTTGCAAACGCAGGAATGGAGGGGGGCAGCAGGTGCTCTGAGCATACAGTCAAGGGACAGCTCATCCAGGGAAGAGAGATGGGAGAAAAAGTTGGGAAGTGTCCAGAACAGGGGCAGATGGGGTGGATGGTAGTTAACACTCACCAAGCTAGATAATGGCACTAGATCAAGGCAGAGGGTGGGTCTCAGGCTTGGCTTGCCTGGAGGAGGTTCCGAATAGCCTCAAGAATAAAATTAAATTATGAAAAGCTGAAACAACTTAATAAAGTTACATGGTAGTGGTAATGTTAGGGAACGTAGCATTAACGAGTAGTAGTAATTTTTTACTTATCTACTGTATCACTTGGGATCCAGCCAGAAAACAAATGGCGCACTCACATTTGCTAATTGAGGTGAATTTAATAGATGGACTTCTTGAAAAGGAATAAATAGGGTGTAGGAAAATAACAAAGAAAAGCCCAGTGCCCTGGAAATGAACTGTTTTTACTCACAATATTTTGACACCAAATGTGTGTGGGTTTTTCTGATACTAAACAATTCTCCAATGTTCCAGAGACCAACTTGGTGCCCTACAATTCAATTCAATTCTGACACTAACTACACCGAGTTAGCATCAGATTCCACCAGCTTACGGGCTCAGTGTCACAAGACTGCCCTCACTTTAGATGCTAGCTGCAAGTATTAGGTCCCTCAGTTACCCTCACTTCTGTCTGCTTTGGCTGCAAAGTAGGGGGGAGAGAGGTGTTCTTACAATCCTCCTTTTCTTTCAGACTTAACAGCTAGAATGTCTCACAAAACTCTGGAAAACACTTTATTTACTATTACTGGTTTATTGTAAAGGATACAAATGAACAGAAAAAGAGGTACATACAGCAAGGCACAGAAGGGTCCTGACCCAGGAGTTTCGGTCCCAGTGGAGGAAGGACACCAGCCTCCCAGTACCTTGATATGTTCCTCAGCTCTGAAGTTTTCTGAACCTTGTTGTTAGTCATTTAAGAGTTTTTATGGAGGTTTCATTATGCAGGCATGATTGATGAAATCATTGGCCACTGGTGGTGAACTCAATAGTCACCCCTCTCCCGTTCCTGGAGATCGGGTGGTGGGGCTGAAAGTTGCAACCCTCTAATCATGCCTTGGTCTTTCTGGTGACCAGCCTGCAATCCTGAAGCTATGTAGGGTCCCCTAGCCACCAGTCATGTCATTAGCCTACCAAAGACACTGCTCCACAGATTTTAGGAGCTGTGTGCCAGGAACTAGGGACAAAGACTAAATATTTATTTCTTATTATATCATACCCTAGCTCATAACAGAGAGGCTGTTATCATTCCCGGGCCTAAACAGTCAAGGGAGGGGTTGGCTATCAGAACTTGGGACAGAGAGAGCTCTTATTAGCTTATTTTAAGTTAGATGTGGTCAAACATGAGCGTTCTGTGGTAACTCTAAATATCTAATTTGAAATATTGAGCATAAGGCGCACTTGCTTGAAAATCAGTTCAATTTTTCAGTTTTACAATTATGTAATTCTTCACGAGGTATTAATTTGCAAACTACATAAACTGTAGTAGAGGTGTTTCAATGGATCATCTTCCATTGTTATTAATTTTGTTCGGAGCGATGTCAAATGAAGGTTAGATTGTTAGTAGTGTTCTTGGAAAGTCCCTCTTCTACATTCCTACATGTGTCAACATTTCTATTCATGAGAATGAGGGGGAACCTCTTTGACTGTCACTGGAAATAACTCAGATAGGAAAGTTTGTATGTCATAAAACTTCCAGAAGGTTTGCAGTATTTTTTTTTGATAAATCTATTCATGAATTTTCAGGAACTCTCAGAATATTGTCAGAATCATTTTAGCTCTAAGTAAACAAGGATAGCAAATGGGTTGTGATTTGGCTAGATCATCATTTTTATATTCTCTGGGCCAACCAGCCATGCACTTCCGTCTCCCCAGGTACACATCTCATTTTTCCTTACTTGGTTTTTATCCCACTCTTGCTCTAATTTGCCTCAAATTGATCACTATGATTAAAATATGTCATGTAACCTTGGCAGGGCTTTTTTTTTTTTCTGTATGTGTAATTCTGTGTATTTAAATATTGATGTAGTTGCATAAAATAAAAGCTCATCACAACTTGAGAGCTTTAAGCACTATTTGGAGCTGAATTTTCACACTGTTCTCAATAACAAAATAACCTCATAGACTTCCTGGTAGCTTCACTAATGGATAGTTTGTCTTCTCTGGGAATAAAAAACTCTCCATTTTATTTTATTTTGAAGTTCGCTAGCCCAGCAGTTGGACCTTTGATGTTGTTTTTCAGGTGCCAGTGATTCCCAAGGTGTTTGAGGAAGGTCGGAGATTGGTTGGTCCTTTGTTAAAATGCAAAAGTGAATCTGTGCTGTGAAAGGGCTGGGGCAGTGGGTGACATGAGCCTGCAGAATTGGCATTGGGCTGAGGTTGAACTGACGCGGCCATATTGCCATGTCTCACCCGTGTCCCCTTTTTTTTTTCAGCTACCCAGTGTAAGCACGGGGCTGTGTATGATACCTGTGGCCCAGGATGTCCCAAGACCTGTGACAACTGGAATGAGATCGGTCCATGCAATAAGCCGTGCATTGCAGGCTGCCACTGTCCAGCGAACTTGGTCCTTCACAAGGGAAGGTGCATCAAGCCAGTCCTTTGTCCTCAGCGGTGACCTTTGTTCTGCTCCTAAGACTTTGAAACTTGGTGTCCTTGACACTGAAGTGGAAGAGCCAATGAAGGACTGTAGTATTTGTGTGCTGATTCTTCACATACACACACACAGAGTATATATGTGTACATATATAGATATATAGATATATTCAGAAACATTTCATCATTTATATAAACTATAGGTGGATTATTATATGTATATTTTTTGCTATAAGACATGTATTATTTCTAGGATCCTAACCTGTAAGCCATTGGATACATTGTATAAATAAACCAGGTGTTTGTAATTTAATAAGGCAGCATGCAGACATATTGGATGGCTTTAACATCACACACATTTGTCATTTTTAAGAAGTTTTCTAAGAAACCTAAATTGCCTGCCTGCATTAATTTTAGCTTTGAATCAAGACTTGCAGTTGAGTGGAAAATGTGTTTCTCTGAAGAAAGGCAAAGTTATCTAGGGGCATTTCATGCTTCCAAGGAGAGGAATGTATGCCTGAGAGAGATGGCTGGTGATTGGTGACAGGCCCTAATGGTGCATGGAAAGCAAGGGATAGGTTGTTAGACTTTATTGGGTCGTAGTCCAATATTATTTCTAAAACCGATTGGCTAGTTGCCAAGAAATATATATTTGTCAGTTGAGCATAACCAAAGAATTGAATGGTTTCTTGCCATCTTTGCATATTCCTTGAGTCACCTAATTATACATGTGTGTATGATGGATGTGTCCATTTATATGTCACAGTGAGATTAAAGAATGGTTGGGTGACATGTTGGTTTTATTGAGCATGAGCAGATATTTGGAGAAACTTTTGCACAACATGTGAGAAAGTAGCCATTTCTTTGAATCTTAGAGCAATTTAGGGTGGGCAAAGATAATGAGTTGATGTAAGCCATTTACATTGTGTGACTCTTCTATGTGTAAAATGAAAATCATTAATTATTTCTAGAGGATTCCTAGCCCAGTGCTATTTGTTGACTGTTAGTATGTCATAATTATTATGCAGGAAAGCCTTTACTGACCAGTTGATTTAACATCAGGCCAAACAAACCTGGTCTCTGTACTTGCTCTAATTTGCTGGTAATTTACTACTGGTCATCGTGTGAGCTTTCTGACTCTTGTTTTCAGTTGAATAAATGAAAATGTCAACAAGACAAAACCCACTGATGTCTAAAAATACTATGTTCTACAGTGTAGTAAATAAAGGGCTTAATATTTAAAACAAGGCATTTTCTCTTGCAAGATGTGCTGTGTTATACTTCGTAAATAAGCCATATTGACTTCGGGCTCATCAATTTTATAACAGCGTTATTTAGATATATTTTATATAACCTACAATACTTAATTTTTGTAGAGTACTATTAATAGACAAGAGCAAATCCCCAAATTTTTAACAATCAGCATATTGCCATTGCCTGTTAGAACATTTATGTTCCCTTTACCTATATTCATCACAGCTTAAGTATTAATTTGGATTCTTTACTGGGATATCTCTAGTTGTTTGAGTAAACTGACTAAAGCACAGGGTATAATATTGACTGGCTGGGGCACCAGAGAATGTGGTTGTTATTGTTTCCCGTGGGTCCTAAATATCTTAATATTTGGAACGCGAGGTAGCCCGGTCATTGCTTTAGCGCTGCACTTGGAAAGAGAGCTTTTTAGGGGACTTGGGTTCCAAGTATAGTTGTGACCTTATCCACATTGTTTAAGCATTTGGAGCCACACTTCTGCTCATCTGTAACACAAAGAGGCTGGGTAGTGTATGGGTAAGGTTAAGAATCAGGAAAACTAGACGCCCTGCCTCCGGTGAGATTACTTGCACAGAAATTTGGGACACTTGGAGTTTGCAAAACTCTTACATTTATAATCTCATGTATTTCCAAATGAAAGGAGGGTTAGGGCAAATCAGTGGACCACTCCTGATTGGTTCCTTTTTAGATTATCTTTAATTCTTTTAGATTATTTTTAAATTCCTTTCCAGTTCACTCTGGGTTTTCTCTCTATGAAAGAGGGACGCAGAAAGGAAAATTGTGGATGGTTATTTACTGCTCATGATTCATCCAAGGAGTGAGTGACTCTACCCGGTAATGCTTAATAGCCTCTATCCCAGCATTTTTAATCATGTCTGACCATGGTGAATGAGATGAAGACTCTTCCTCATGGACCAACTCTGGCAATTTGGGTGGCTTGATTACAAGTTTGTGTGATGTCCTTTATCCATGGCTAGTTTAAAGTTTGTACACTTTTTTCATTCCTAATCCTAGAAGAAAGAGAAGGCAGAAAGGGCAGAGGATTATTCAGGCCTACTAATCCAAGCAGGCAGCTCCCTGATGGGGGAGCATGGGGAAATGAGCCAAATGGTCCGTTTGCCATGTTCTGGTTTTGGCCATGGGCTATAGATGAACAATGATTTTATCAAATGATTGATCATAATGGAGATTAACCAAATGCTTTGATGGTAGTGGCCTCATCTTATTTACATGGGATATTTTCAATGGGTTCTCGAGGCCAAACTCCTGCAGAGTTAGAGAACTCGAAATGAAAATGTTATATTTCACTCTTTAATATATATAACCCAGGCTAGCAATTCCTGTTGGCACCATGGTATATATACAATTAAAAGATGGGTTAATATCCCTCTATCTACACATATAGAATCCCTATTTTAACTATGCTATTAGCTATGAATATTGAACTTGACGAGGGACAAATGCCCTTGATGAAAAACAAGCACAATTATGATTCCAATTGCATGTAGTTGCTGCTCAGTAAAAGTAAGTCCTTTCCCCTCTCCCTGTGAAAATAGGAATGTTTAAAGATTTTTAACGGAAAGTTTTGAACTTGGAAGAAAAATGCATATTGGATGTTGACAACAGCAATTATTTGTGAAAAAGTTGAGAATCATCAACTCTTCAAGTGGAAGTTCTCCCCCTGTTAATTTGTTGAGTATTGCCTGAGTGTCTGACCACCAGCTTGGACAGGGCATCTCCTAATGAAATGAGAAGAGCCCAGTGGTTGACTCTTCCCCAGCTTTTGTTGAGCATGGATAAACCATTTTGACTGGAAAATTTTTTCTTATTATGACATGTTTCAGACATATAAAAAGGTTTAGAGAATAATGTTGTAAACACCCATAAATACCCTAATTATGAAAAATAACCTAGTAGGTAGTCAATAAATTTTTCTTACATAAATAAAATCAAGCCAAGCCTCATGGTTGCAACAGCTCTGTGTGGAGTTTTTCCTTGTTGAGTTTCTGTTCCCTTTCTGCTCTTTGTCACTCACATTCGTATGGATCTGACAAATACTAAAGATGTGAGCTGGAAGGCTCTTGGTGTGGGAGAAGGAAAATGCCTTAGGGGACAGGTGCCAAGATATTTTAGTTAGCTATCTCCTCCAAACATAACCCTCAGGAACAAGCAAAAATTGTCTCCAATTCTAAATCCTGAAGTAAAACCCTTTTCAGAAACCAGGATTTTAATTCTGAAAATTGAGAATGTTCAAGTGACTAAGAATGAACAAAAAAGGAAAAGAAACCAGTGCTGTTGATTATGTTGACCTTGAATTAAGAACCCAGACGTTTAGTCCTTTAAGGGGGCCTTTTTGGCTTTAGAGCCATTTTGCTATTTTGGGCTTCATTAAACCAACTGAACGACAAATCTTGCATGAGATCCATTTTTACTGTGGTTCCCTTTCAGATTAATTTTGAGCAAGCCAGCTTTGAAAAGATTAATGTGGGGGAGAAGCGTGGGAAATCCACGCACAAACATGAGCCTTAGAGGCGAATTCAGAGTGAGCCTGGTTAAGCAAAGCGGGAAGTGTGTTCCAGGTACAGTGAAAACAAAGCACCAAGGCCGCACCAGAAGTGGTGTGGCGTGAAGAAAGCGTAAATAAAGCAGTGAATGGAGGCCCTCCTGTGCATGCCCAGAAGCCTGAGTTTTATTCTTTGTCGCAGTACTTCCCAAAGTGCTTAATGTCATAGTGCATTCAGAAAATAACATTTGTCTGGGTTGCGGTAAAAATACAGGGCTGTTTGCATCTAGCACTTCTGTGACTAGAGCTTTGTCTCAGTGAGTGGAGTGAGGTGGGATTTTCAGTGAAAAGAGCAGGTGGGAGGTCTCTGAGATAGTCCAGGTGATGAGCCCCCAAAACTAGGATAAAAAGGGAAGAACTTTATAAGAGGTTGAATGACGAATAGGCGAGTTTCGGGCTTGAGTGATGGGTGCTAACAATGGATGCCGGTCTGTCACATAAGGAACATCGGCAGGGTGCCGGGGCGGGGGGGGGAGGGCAGATTTACAGAAATTTCTATTGTAAATCAAAATGTTTTCTTTAGGTTGTGTTTGGTTCAGTTCCGTAAACATTCTGAGCATTCAGATGAAGACATGGGCCTTAAGACTGTGACAATCACAGTCTAGGTCTTGTGACTTGTGGTAAACCAGAAGTAAAACTAAGCTGGCCAAGGAGCCTCAGGAAGTTCAATTTGGGGTTTTCTGTTTGGGATTACATCAGCGAAGGTTTGCCAGAGAAAGTGACTCCTCAGATGAGCCTTGCTAGGCTAAGTAGGCTCTACTTATTCCTTACGAGGCTGAACAGGCTCTATGCAAAGAGGTGTGAGTGTGTGTGTGGTGGTGGGGGCGGGGGGCAGGGATGGTGTACTTTAAGGCACAAGTCACTGCATGGATAAGGAGAAAAGCAAGCAGGTAGCCTGGGCGTGCAGAGAACAACAGGTTTTTTGGTATTTGGGGGGTATAACAAATTCACAGAACTTTCCCGAGTTGCGTCAGTGTAGCTCACATGCTCTGAGAGATTTTGCAAACTTCCCTTGATTTCTAATGGGGTGAGCACAAGCAGAGTTTGAGGAAATTTGAGCATTTTGTTTTAAGCCATCTTTGCTTCCTGCACCTAGGAGTGTTCGAGTTTCTTTGATGTGTCTTCTGAGTATCCAGAGAGGGAAGGAAGAGAGAAGAGGCTTCTCTGGGACCTTCAGTCTTGAACTGTATAGTGAGGCGGCATCTTTCAGACCCTGTAGGCTCTGGTTGCTTCTACAGACTGTCCAAGGTAGATACACTGAACCACAGCTTTTCCTGAGTTGGCTGTGGTCTGACGGTGGGGATATGGGAGGCTTAGGGTCCAAACACTGGGCCCACCAGTGTCAGCAGCTCTGGTCACACCAACAGGTAAAAGGCCTGGAGATCATAGCTTACCCAGAGTTCTGGTTGGAACAGTCTTGTCATGTTTTAGCCACATTATGTCATAATCCAGCTTATGCTTTAAAAGCTGACATAAACTTCTTTGCTTCCTCCAACTGGAATTTGGCTTACTAAGTAATTCTTCTGAGGGGTTCTTCAGCAGTGAAATTTTGGGCTTTAGGAAATATTTGTGGTGCTGAAAAAGTTCCACTTTGGCTCTGAAAGTGTCAATACCATTTGTTATATTGCCATTTTCACCATGTTCTGACATATAATGTAAAGAATTGGATCCTGAACAGCTCCTTCTGGCTCGGGTGCTGAAGCAGGCATGAAAGGGTGAGGAAGGCAGCAGGAAGCCTGGCCAGATCCCTCCCTGCGCTGAGCAGGCTGCTCTGGGAGCCTGTGATGGGAGGTGTTTCTGCTGGATCACCTGCACGCTTCTGGAAGAGGGCAAATCGAAGGATCCTCATGTGAATTCCCATTGCCCTCCTGAAGACAGAGCCAGACCAGGGGAACCCTGTCTTAGGGAACTCTCTTGTTCACTTAACTCTCTTGTTCGCTTGTTCTCAGAATTGGCTATAATAGGAAACTGAAGTGGGAAGAAAGGGAAGATGAAAAGACAGGTTTATCCACAGCATCTGCCACTCCAGTCCACCCTGAAAACTTCAGGGAGGACATAGGACAGGCGGCTTGATCACGCTGAAAACCATTCTCCACTCTGTTTCATGTGATGACATTTGGGGAATATCTGTTTTCATAGACAGAGCAGCTCAGCCTGAGCAATCTCATTTCCATGATGGATCCACATAGCTATGTTAATTCTGTGATTCTCTGAGATGCATCAGGGAGAATCCTTCCAATGGTCTGTCAATATGCTAGGCTATCCCATTCAAGGGCCCTGACAGGTGAATTTAGACCAGTTTTGGTTTGCCTGTTGAGATCCCCCATAATTCATGTCATGATTGTCTTGCCCTTCTTTGCTTTGCCATTAGATCGGGCCACAGACTGGTTGGGTTGCTTTGGTTAAAGGAGATAAAGATGGCAGCCAGAGTGGCATCCTATAGGAACTGGTATGTCCAGCTGAGCTGGGGGTCTTTGCTATGCCCAACCATGCCTGAGGACCAAAGTGGACCCATCAGCTTCACCCTTTTGCTTGGGAATAGAGAGGGCAGTAAGGGAAACCTTATTAATTCTCTCTGACTTTGCTATTTATTTCCTTTGGTTTTACCCCGAGGGGAAAAATATGAAGGAGCAGTATGGTATACACATTTTATTTTTTTGTCTTAAAATAACATGGGTAAAATAAAAATTGTTTTCAAATTTGGGAAATTTTGTATTTCCTTGGATTCAAGTTCTACCCAATATAATTTATTGAATGTTAAAGGTTTCATATTTAGCTGACTTTAAGTGCATACATTCTGAATGCAATTTCCTAAGCAAAACTTGTTTTCCTTGAAATCGGTTCCATGATTTATTGTTCATATGACTCGCTCATTTGGACTACCTGTTTCGTGACAGCAAATGTGTGGAAATATCTGTCTAAATAATGTATATGCATATTATTTTTCTCACATTAACAACACTTATTATCTTTTCATCAGTAATGCACGTGACTTCATTTGTTTCTGATTCTCCAAGCATAAGTGCACAATCCTTTCTACTGTGGAGGAAGAGAGGCCCAGGAGGAGACAGGTGAAGCTGTGAGGCAAACAGCCAACATGGAACAGGTACAACCCCGGGTACCTTTCTGCAGCACAACCCAAGAGGGGCTGCATCACGCAAGAGTCATGCAGATGCAGCTTAATCTGTGTTGCCTTCAGACAAATGGAAGGAAATAAAATCCAGTTTTGAGATTCTCATCCTATGAACTTCAGGGCCTGACACACATTGTCTTCAGGCATGTGACGGGGGACACAGGGGAACAGAGTCCCCATGTCTAAAAACCTCCCCTGAACTCCTTCAAAGCTATGATCTGTCATCTAGATGTCTAGGCAGCTGGGGACAGGAGCCAACTTCCTGATGGACTGGCCTCCTTATGGCCTGAGCTGGCTGGATGTCAGGGATCATGTGGGCCTGGTCCTCCTTGGTGCTTGAATCGTGGGTGTGAGCAGGTTCCCCAGGTAAGCCATCCCAGGTCACAGGTACCGATGTGTACCTGCCTGGGGAGGGGTCCTGCCAGATGCCCCCCGAGCCTGTAGGACGGGCTGGCCTTGCTCTTTCTGTTCATGCTTCTTCCCTAGTAGAGAGAGAGGAAAGGTTTCCCTCACAGACCATGGGATCTCAGCATTTCCAGCCAAAGATCCCAGCAGTTGGGTTAGAGAGTGCAGGGCTAATGGCAATGCTTCCTCTAAGAGAAACAGATCACAGTGTAGCTTCCAGAGACCTTTCACCAGGAATTCAAACCAGCTGTCCTGTCCCTTCGACAGAGGCTCCTTCCTCTCACCTCTCAGTTTTGTCCCTTGTTTTTACTTCTCCTCTCCCTAAATGGAGTTTTCCCAGGCTTCTCTCTCCATTTCTCTGGTCCCCATTAAACTGGCCTTCCCTCCTGGCACCATCTTATGTTCTAGTTCTTTCCTGACACTTCTAAAAAAATGTAGCTGACCTGGTTCCCACTCCTTCAAGAATCATTTTGTGGAAAATATATTTAAATTGCTCTGAGGTCTATGCATTATCAGTTTTAGGTACCATATTTTCATTTTCTTATCGTGAGTCTTCTGGCATTTAACATCTTTAAGCAGTCGTCTATTTCTAATGTGGGTAATGAAGGCACTGTGTCAGATCGGAAGGGAAGATTGTTAGAGGGCAGGAGGACATTCTGTTGGCCCCAGCAATGTAGATGCAATGTAGACCCAACCTCCATAGATGACTGGCTCCGTTTGCCACATGCCCTTTGAAACATTTTTTGAAACTTTTTCTGGTTGTAGAACATTCCTTCTGGGTTTTTTTTGTTTTGTTTTGTTTTTTTGTTTTTTTTTTTATAGAATGTCTATAATTTCTGATGTCAAACATTCACTGAAGAAAGAATTATTCCAT